GAGTAGGGGTCTCCTTAAGCCCTCCCTCAAAATACATTATGCGTTCTGATAGAAATGAAAAAACTTATGGCATGGCGATTTTCATGGCTTGCCCTTCATAAATTTGGCCCCGCTGCATTGTAATGCCAAATTACTTTCAAAGGCATGTTATCTCGCTTCGCTCGCCCAGATCCAAGTCATGGTGAGGCTTGGCCTTCAGCCCTCACATTCACTATAAACATCCTTGAATCTATCCCCCGCATCATTCCCAATTCACTTTTATAAGTAAGTACTTTTCAAGAAATCCTCCAGAATTTAAACTGCGCAATTGCCACCGGAGTGGGGCAAAGTGTCAATTTAAACGACACCCTTTATTCTGTACTGTATACTAGACTTCAGCCTAATTTTCGTTATAACTACTACAATTAACTTTTCACTTTGTAACAAAATGTGAAAGGACCAATGCAGAAAAGAAAACTGATGACCATTAGCAAGAATTTATTGTACAATATCATTCATTAATGTAACATTTGAAATAAATAAAATTTTAGTAAGTACAACAATTAGGAAATGCACAACTGTTGGCTGTCATGGTTGTGAATTGCACTATTGATTTTATACCATTTTTCCTACTGCAGCAACACTTCTAATTTTCCAGCTTCATACATCTTTTTTACATCTGTTCCTCCACCTATGCACTGCCCTTTAACAAAAACTCGTGGAACCTAGAAGGGAGAAAAAAAAAAAGGTTCCTTCATTGAATATTGTTTCAACGTTTTAAATGTCCAGTCCATCTCTAAATAACATCATTGGAGGAAAAATGAAATTAATAAGCTTTCACAATCACTAGAGAAGAGTCATTTGAAAGAAAATTTGTCACAAGATTCATAGTTTTAACACTTATTTTGTTAAAACGTCAAATTTACTGACATTTCAGTTATTGGTATTAGCACAAATTTATAGTTTCAGGAACTAAATTCTTCTCATGTAAAGGGTTTAAGGCTTAATACCTTATTTTTTAAAAAAATTATATTCACAATCTATAAACTCACTGTTCGAGCACCAGTTATTTCTCCAAGGATATCCTGGATTGCATCTGCATCATCTCTTTTGTCTAATTCTATTGCACTATATGTCACATTAATTTTATTAAAAACCTGAAAAGAAGTAGTTTCAAAATTATTTGACAACTTAAAAAACGACTCTTCAATATACATGCTTGCAAGACTTTCTCACCTCTTTTGCCATGGTACAATACGGACAGTATGTTTTTGAGAAAATTACTACATTATCCCCAGAAATGAGCTCTTTTACCAGCTGTGCCTGAGTGCCGCTCATGTTTACCGCTCTGCTCGCACCTAAACCCATTTGAATAAAGTTAGAAGCTGCAAAAGAAGCACAGTTTTAAAATCCGCATGTAATGTGGATGACTGAAAGATTAGCTGCTGCTTCAAATCCTCCAAGCATATTCATGCTCACACAGTGCAGTTTGTTATCCGTCACTAATCCACAAAACATACCAGAGAAACATCAACACTTGTGAATTAAAGCTACTAATCTACATGTTAAAAGTTACAGTTCAATAATTACGTATTTACGTGCAGTAATGCAATTTATTAGAATCGGTAACAACGGATATTTTAAATAAAATCAGTATTCACTGAAGTTTCTGCAAACGTTATTAATTCGCGGTGACTTAGCTTGTCAGCCTACCTCACTATACTTGACAGTTCACGAATTAATAGTTCACAACTTCGCTTCACACTTAATAGCTAGACGGCTACAATCTTGGCCGATTTCTTCGTTTAAGTGACGTCACGTGTTGCAACTTCTAAAATGAATCGTAACTATTGGTCAGTTCTCAAAAATTGGATGAGTACAGGGAAGAAGCGTTCCTTTCCGGTCCCGTTACAACGCTTATCGCATCACAACTTTTTTGGAACAGAACCGGTTACAAAGAGTTTATAATGGTCACGGTGAAAGATATGTCTTATACACCGTGGTTGTAATCGAGTCATCAAACGAACGAATCAGAACAAATGCTTCATACGCTGTGTATGCCATGGCCCAATTGTTCGTGCAAGTATAGTACGATTTATTTAGTCGTACACTTGACGTAAAATATCGTTTGCGCTTACATGGATGGGAACATATATGTCGCTACAGTGACGTCACTATGGGGACGTTGAATCCTCCAATTGTATGAAAATGAACAGCTGATTTACGTCAAGTGCATGGTTAAATAAACCATAGTTAAAGTCATACCCTCCAAATACGATGTAAGAAATACACCGGGTTGAAAAGTACGTCTGAAAATCACGCCAGCACTCCGCTTCCGCGGACACCGTAAGGCCAACAAACTACACCCAGGGATGTATTTTCCGAATACAGCGACGAGAAATGAGGAAAGAGGCCGGCGAGGGTGCGGCTAAACACTAGAATTGTATTATTCGATGATTCGAAATGCTTTTATGTGCCGTAAACCGAGAGTGGTGACAGCAGTTAGCTATAAGATCAACTGCCAGTCCCATTTCTTGTTTAATTATATGCTCATATGTACTTTTTACCCTGAAACCCTTGTTTTATTATCACCATAATTGTAATTCATGCCTGTGCAGGTAATGTCAGCACAGGGCACATGCATCTCACGCAGCTGCATGAGGTAGTGGAACCAATTTTTGGGCGGCATTTCAAGAAAAAAAATTGTTTGAAAAAAAGTTAAACATAAAGATTTGGGTTATGACAATAGTTTAAAAAATATTGATAGTAATAGTGAGCTAATATTTAGCTTTTATATGTGTTCTTACACTGCTGAACACTACTTACTACGATGAAAACCGTTTGCAGGTTATGTCATGCCTGTTTTTTTTATTGTAACTTTCTTAAATAGAAATGTTAGATTTAAGGAGCCATTACACAGTACGCGAAGCGATATAATGTGACGTTTGAAGTGGCTGTATAAACTATTGTTTACAAACAACCACGAGATCGGGATACTCCACAGTTAATCATATTTACTGTAACATTCTGTCCAAGGGTAACTCTCGAATCCAGCAATTCTCTGATGGCCGAGGGTTGTGAATAAGAACCACTGAGCTACAATATACTACATAGAGTGGTTGTATTTTTTTTATAGCGCCTCCATCTTTACAACATATTGAAGCCTTTTTTGCAGTCAAAGCAGCGCCATCTGTAGAAAAATACTAATACAGTACTCCGTTTGGTGCTGGTTAAGGCGGCGCGGACCGGGCGTAATATAAATCCTCTAACTCTGTGTTTCTCGACCAAAATCCAATAATTTAAAAACGAAATCACAATAAGTAAGGAAAACAAATTGAAAAACTTGAAAAACACGTTTATTCCTGCATCGGTTATTATCATAAGAATGGAAGATGTTGAAATGTTATTGTAGTTAGCATAACGCCTGAGAGTGAATGGCAATAAGTAGCAAACAGATCACAAATAAGGTGGCAAACTTAAATAATGATATATTTGTGGTTGGATGACTTCTAATTTTGCAGTTATATGCCGGACATTCTGAATGCATTATGAGTATTATTATTCTGACCACTAATATGATTTAAATATAGATAAACGGAAAGACAACAAAATGGAAATTAGATCTGGTACAACCAACACGTCCCACTTTACACGCCCCCATCAGGCACCTCTCGTTTTGACAGCAAAAAACATGCCGGCCTCTAGTTCGTCGAGCGTCCACCAAGAACACTGAAACCATAGAGTAAGCCACTATATGTAGTATATTCCAGCTCGTTGATAAAAGCAGACAATTTTTAGTTACGCAGGCTATTTTCGGAGTAGTCCAAAATTGAGAATAAGGCAGTTAGAGTATATAAAAGTTATATAAATTTATTCTCTGCTACAGATAATGTATTGTTTTTTTAATAATATTTACAATCTAATAGGATAAATCTTATAGGAACAGTCTAAATGTCATTTTCTAATTTCGCTTTTGTATGCAAAAAATAAAAATGTTAGTCTAATTCATTGTAATATTATTTTCATTTATAATTTTAGAAATAGAATAGACGTTATTACATGAACGTTTTTACACTTTTTAAAAAATATAATATAATGTAATGTCGATTTTTTATTTGCAACTAACGATTTTATATTTTAAATAACAAATTATGTAAGAAAAGAGTTTGTTTTTGGTTAAACAAAGATTATAAGTTAAACTTCTAACGTTAACTCAAAAATAGAAAAACAAAGGTAGAAGTTTCATTTACTTTAATTTATCCAAAAACATCACCAATTAAGGAATTAGAATTTATTGCTAAACATAAATTTGTAACATCAAATGTAGTTATTTTTTAACATTAATTTGTTACTTAGAATTTTATTACCAATTCCAGTTTTTAGTAGCCTTTGGGGAAAGAAGTTTTTCCAAAATGAAATTAATCAAAAATAATCTTAGATAGCAATAGATTTAAGGAGCCATTACACAGCACGCGAAGCGATATAATGTGACGTTTGAAGTGGCTGTATAAACTATTGTTTACAAACAACCACGAGATCGGGATACTCCACAGTTAATCATATTTACTGTAACATTCTGTCTATTGGAAAGTCAATTTTGAAAGATTTAGACTTAATTGATGTAATAATACATTTTGTAATGCAAAGGTACAACAAATAATCATGTAAATTCTGTAACTTGTCAGTATTATTAAAAATATATTATACAGGAATAACAATTTTATATATATATATATATATATATATATATATATATTAATACAATTAGGACTATGAAAGATGTACACTCAACACAAAATTTAAAAAATAAAATATATTTTAAAAACGTCATTTTTGTAAAGGTCTGGCTTCCTTCTACTTCTGCTATTAATTTTTTTTACATATTATTAAATAAAAATAGATAAGCACATATAAAGTCGGCACACAATTCTTTTGCTTGGTGCGCAAAATACGCTGAGCCGGCCCTGTAAATAATTATTTCAGGTAAAAAAGGAACTATATATGATATATAGAGAAGTACAATATAAGACTCTATGCAAATTTTCTTGAACTCTCTCTGATTCATTCTACCCTGTCTGTTTTTGGACACGTATTTAATGTTTCAAGCTATCCTTTCGCGTTGCTTTCATTGACTTGATGTCATAACATGGTCTTATGGCTCTCGCAAACATTCGACACAATAAAGAAATTTTGCAACGCTTTTACAAACGCGATTTTCATTCGGGTGTCCTGAGAATTTAAGAGAAGGAGGGATATTAATATTTCCGCCCCTGCACTGGCCTCCCTCTTTTACTTTCGCCTTAGCTGCCTCTCTTAACTTCTCGATCTTATCTTCCGCGGCCTTCATTTTTCGTGCGATCTCTGCTTCTAATTCTTGCCTCGTCGCTTCACGAACGTCTTGAACTTGCTCACGGATTTCGCCGAATTGGACGCCGTTATCCCTGTTCTGCCTTTCCAATTCTGTCGACAAGGAATCTATTCGTCTTCCTACTTCCGTGTGTCTCTCCTCTACTTGATCCTTGCATTCCTCGACTTGTGTCGTGACTTCTTGTCGGAGCTCGTCGCATTTACTGCCGACCTGTATCATTATGGATTGTTGGAGTTGTTCTAACTTTTTATCGATGTTTCTTGTCTCCTCATTGATTTTAGTTACGAGCCTCTGTACCTTCTCCGTAATTAGCTGCGATTATTCGTTAATTTTCTCATTAATTTGTTCATTGATTTGCTGTGACCGTTCGTCTGCCTTGTTAAGTTGATTCCCTGATTCTCAACCTGCTGGGCTATTACCCGCGCGAATTTTCCTAGTAGCGCCTACATTAGTGTGTGCATGGATTCTTCCTGTCCACTTCCTCGCGTTGCTAATTCTGGTGACGCATCGTCAGATTCCGTGCGAGCCGCAGGTATACTTATTTCTACATCGTCGCCTACATTTAATTTCTCTATTTTCCTAAACAGCTCATTTCCTTCATCCCCTTCGCTAGCTTCCTCACTCTCAACTCTTTTCGCTTCCCTATATTCACGACTTTCTGCCATTTTAATTATAACTTGCTACCTTGTATTGCCCCGTAATACTCGTACACTTCACCCTCCAAAATACAAAGAAATGCACACACAACAATACAATACATTTCACAATTAAATATCACTTTTCTGAAAAGAAAAAGCATATAAAGCACACAGGAACAAAATTTCCTAAATCTGTGTCTGGGGTAACTGCTTATTTGATCACTCATCGATCACTGCCCCACGTTGGGCGCCAGCCTATATAACGCTAGCCTTTGGTTGCCGGCGCTAGAAAGAATGCTCTGAACGAGCTTTGTAATCTCAAGGGGCAGGATCTTTTGGGGTACGAGAATGATTTACATCCAGACACAGAATTAGGTAAAACAGTGCGTATTCTTCAGAATATATCACATATGTCAGCACTGACAAATAATACAATAAAATCCCACATATCAAATTGCACATAAATATTCAATACGAAATCAAAACAAAATACTGTTCACACCTTTTAAAAATAGTTTTTGTTTACTCCTCTGGTTCCAGTATTCACTACTACGTTACAATAAATACCCGTGCACGGTAACTATTGTTGGGACAGCACCGTTTAAACAACTAATATTAAACTCCCTATGACTGAGGAGTGCAACAAAATTATATACCCTTTCTACACAGAATCTTACGTTTTAAGCAGAACACGTTATTGAAAGGCTTATTACAATTATTTACCGTTAAATTTTCTCCTCGTCAATATTACACAAAATTGAGGAACAAAGATTAACACAGTTTTTCTCGTAACATTAGAATGAACTGTATTGCCGGCGTACAAGGTTCTTTCAATTGCTTTGCCGTTATCTAGATTTTACGTGAACATGCAAATTTACAATCACAGCCTTTCTGCTGCTACGCTAACGTTCAAGTCTCTGTCGGCTCCCAATCGTTTTACAAAATTTCTGTTACCTTGACCTCACTGCGCAGCTTGCAAACTGTTCTGCGTCGCCGTCTATATAATCTTAGCCCACTTCCAGCAGCACCGTAGCCTCGCTTCATCGCAGACCAGCCGTCAGCGATGTCGCTTGAAACGCCGCCTTTTTTCGCTCCTGCTACCAAATCCACGTCCAATTTTCTTTCATCTCGCCTCTTGACCATTTCCGGCACCGGAATCCTCGCCTCTGCTTCTTCTTCACCCCTCTTCCTATGCGACACGCCGTCGCGTATTTTAAACTCCTCACGAGTGTTTTCTAACGGCGTATCGGTTTTCTGGCGTTCTTTACAACACCTCTTAATCGTGTAGATAACATTTCTATTAACACCTACGCCTATGATAACGTTCCACTAACGCACAGTTCTACTTACGCCTCTCAACAGCTCACAGTTCCTTCGCGGCCCCTATTCCACCTTGTATTAGTTCCTCCACTACTTCCCACAATCTTTATGCAATATTACACTTCGCCTAGTTAATGACAAGTTAATAAGGCTGAATCTTCCGCTATCACACTATTATTTCGCCTGAACAATTACTTCGCACTGTGCTTTCTACGAAATTGCGTCTCGCAATCCTCATGTCTAGCTCTCTACGCACGTCCGAACTCTTCGACGCAGGGCCGGATTTAAGTAGTGCGAGGCCCCAAGCACAAAATTGTGTTGCCCCCCCCCCGAAAAAATAGCTCCATCTTTATTTAATAAAAAATGTATTATAGTACAAGTACTTTCTGTACAGATACAAATGAAAACTGATAATTTTTTATAGAAATTTTTACTTGTGTTACATTTTTTACATCAAAAAAATTTTTTTTCATATTTCTTTTTCTGCTCTTCATTGCAGAAAATTGGTCAATGATGTCTTCAAAACAAAGATTTCTCAGCTTATCATGCTCCATAGTCAGGATATTGAAATTGTACATTTTGTTACACAGTAGACTACTTGATTAACAATTATTTCACAGACACAAAAATATGGTATGCGTATTTTTCCGAAACGCGGGGCCCCTGGTGAATGGGGGCCCCCAAGCAACTGCTTGTTTTGCTTGTAGGTAAATTCGGCCCTGCTTCGACATCTCTCATCAAAAAGCTGCTCTCTTCAATTACTACCGCTCTGGCAGACCACATTGGACCTCTCACCTCGGCGTCTCGTACAAAAGAAGTTCTTACTAGCGCTGTCCCATGAGAAGATGTTGACTCCGCCCTACTGGCCTTTGCTCACCGAACTCGGCGTGTCATGCAGAAAAAGGGGCCGATCCGTAAGGTACTCCGCTATTTATAGGTAGCATGACGTCACGACGAACCCTTCCGCGTTTTTCCTTGAGCTGGATGTTCGCCGCCGTCTCGGCGCGGGCAGCAAGTAACAGATATCGCTGTTTCGGTAGCAGTTTATTCAGCTCGCCTGTGCACCGGTGATCTCTGGATCCGCCGACGCTGTGTGGGGTTTCCGAGCTTTCAAACGAAACATTTCCCCCTTTTTCGGAAAAATTTTATGCTGATCGCCCAATTTAAAAGCTGTATTTTCTTATTGTTAACTCTCAGGATCCAATCAATATCTGCGGTGGTTGTCTTTTCCGTAAAATCTTTTTCTCATCGTCTGCAGAATGAGTATTCATACTTGGAATTGGATAACTTTTGCTCCAAAGCGTAGCATCTGTTAATTCGATTCGAAATTGATTTTCTATAAGGGGCTCTTCTCTCTTTTCCAACACGGCTCTCCCCCTTCTTAATACCTGAAGCAACGCGTGTTTCTGCTCAACGGTAATATTCTTCTTCTCATCTGCCTTATCCCTCAACTTCCTCATTATTTCTTCTCCTACTTCTGGGGACCGTTGATTACCGTGGTTTCTTCAGCGATTACGGAGGGTTGGTGTTCGAATGCGGCATCGCCTCCGGCATCACGTTTACTTGATCTCCGACCTTCCACGAGGTAACACTTTTGCGCAACGGTGTCTGGTCTACCAGCATGCAGCGTATCCTCTGTCCCCACATCCGCTCCCATTTTTACTCGTTCACAGACCGCCCACCTTCTATGAAACGGCTCGGAACCATCTATTTATGTGTATATATATATATATATATATATATATATATATATACTGAATCATACTTATAAAGAAACAAACATTAAACTAACTTCCTAAATTTCAATCAACAATCTAATGTGTCTTTGCTCTTCAGTTTTGTACACTCTCATGGAGATAATTAATTACATTTCTACTTATCTTTCCTAAAATTAAAAATAATGGGGGTATTTGGGAACTGCATTATCTATAAATGTCATTAAAACAATATAGTTCATAATATTTAATATCATTACACATTCAAAAGTGTGACAAGCTTATTCAAGTTTTGTCTTACAGAGCTTTCCTTTCCACGTTCACTTTATTTATTGTGAGATTCATTGATACTGCTCTTAATCGAAGAGAGGTATTTGCACACTCTTACAATTTCTTTTAGCAATTTTATTTCGTGTAAATCTACGCAATCAATCGCAGAATTAATTGAAACACCAGAAATAATTATTGAAGTTTAAAATAGTAAATGTGAACTTTGAATTTATGAATGATCCATTCATGTTCCAGCCTGGCCTCCCATGTTACTTCTACTTGGGTAGCTTGCTATGCCATCCAAGTTGACATAAGCTGAGAATCTTTTCTTGCTGGCATCCCAGACCTATTGCTTTCTTATCGACATACCTTAATATATAAGAGCACATTCCTACAAATGTCACATATTGTCCCTGTTTTCACTTCAATATTTGAAAACTTCACCAATAAAACCTATTCCTCAATAATTTACATAATAAATCCATGATCTTAGTCTATTTGTTTGAGGCAATGAAAATAATGATCGACATCCTTATATACTTTAGTAGAATAAAAGGTCTAAGTCAGAGAAAACTGTTCACATGGTCACTGTACCGTCTCTCATTTTTATCACATTTAGAATTTTGATACTGACTTTTATAAACTCTAACAGAAAACCACTAAACTTCTCTTCAAGAGCTGCTGCTAAGTCAGAATTTGTTCCTTTCTCTCTCAATTCTTTGATTATTTCTGCTGTTACTAATCTTCTAATTCCTGCGATTCAGTTTCATTTACAGAAGCTTAAATTTGTTTCTCAGGATGGCTTTTGGTCAGTGACTGGAACAGAGCCTATGCCTTCGGACGCCTGCTGAACCTTTGTGAGATCGTCGACGCAGGAGAGAGTATACGTGAACGATTCTACTCCATATATTTCGGAGAATTTCCATTATTTATTTAATATTTATATTATATTTTATTCATTGAAATATTAGATTAACATTAATAAACTAATAAATTAAATTAACAATTTAATAGCATTAATAATCGCTATTTATTAAATATTTAATTTGTAATTAATTGCATTTTAATTACCTTATTTCTTATAGCAGATATTTATTTTGTAATAATATTAAATGTAGTTGATTATAAATGTTAATAGTTTTTATCAATTTTGGCAAGGAGTCCACCGCAGAAGGGAGAAGTGATGCAGCATCAGCGCCAGGAAGACATCTTTTTTATTGCAAGATTTGTGAAAGAGCTGATGATGCGAGGCAACATAGAAACTTCAGTTATTGAA